ATTTCAGTTTCAAGTTTCTCTGGAAATCCATGACGGCTTGTAAAGACCTGAGGAGTGTTTATTTTTTTCATTTTTTATTTTTTTAAATATTTATTTATTTATTTTTTTGGCGGACACAACATCTTTGTTGGTATGTGGTGCTGAGGATCGAACCCGGGCCGCACGCATGCCAGGCGAGCGCGCTACCGCTGAGCCACATCCCCAGCCCCGAGGAGTGTTTATTTAAGAAAAATGGCTTCCTCTCACTAAGATAGCGAGCATCATGGGATTTGAACTTGCCTCTAGCTCCACAGAAAACTGACAGCCACTTGTGCCTACGTGTCTAGCAAGAGGCCAGCGAGGGTGGAGGCCAGGGGCCTGTCTACTCCCTCAGACACCCGGGTGGACCCAGCTCCACCACTTACTTACCAGCTTCCCRAACTCAGCCAATGACCTGCTTTCTGCCTCTCCTCGTCTGTGAGGGTAAACGATGACAGGACCTAGCCCAGGGCTGCCGGAGGAGCAGAGGAGGGTCAGGTACAAGAATGTGCCTACCACGCGGTGAGGCCACACTGGTGGAGCTGCTCACTTGGATCATTATGGGCTCATCTACGGAGACCAGAAACTCTCGGATGTATTATAAACCCCAGCTTCTACATCCTGTAGATTTTTAATGCATCTCTCCCTTGTCTTTTCCYAGAACACTCTTATTTCAAGGCCCTTAAATATTTGTTCAACAGATAATGACTTCTGGATTTGACAAGTTTTTACATAGGAAATTTCTGATCATATGATTATCACCTATATGGATCCAGCAAGTAAATGTCCATGGCTGACCTTACCTAACACTGAAAGCTGTTCTTTTAAGAGGGGAGAATATTTATCTTAAAATAGGTCTTCTCAAATAGCACAGAAAGTCCTTCCACCTCCACTTAGAGCCACTGGTGGGCCAGACACGAGGAATCTCACCTTAACATGCCAGAAGAAAACCTGAGTCATTTGGGGTGAGAACCCTGGAACCAGGCTCCTGAGCCTGTGAATCTACCGCCTGCCCCCTGGTAACAATGCACATGTTCACTGTAAAAATAAAGTACCTTACCTAACACATTCCTTCACAGTGCTACACAAGGTGCTTTTGACCCCTTCAACAGTTGTCACTGTCCATTCTCTTGTGTATATTTTCAAGGTCATCTAATGATGATTTTATTTCTCTGGAGGTTTATATAGGTCTGGGGCTTTGTGGATCAAGAGAGTTTATGAAGCATCTTAGAAAATAATGAAAATAGCTGTCCTTGAAAGGCCACCTTTTCTCCTCCTGTCTGGAGCCTCCTGGCAGCGTCTGACCTGCTTAGGTCTCTCCCACCTCAAGTCAAACCAAACCAAACCAAAATGCTCATTTAGCTACCTGTTCTCCCGTCCAGCAGGTAGCCATGCTGTGGGAAGAGCAGTACATACTTATTAGCACTGTATTTTCACTTCCCACCTGCTCCACAGTTCACTCCAGTGTGGCCTATGCCCATCAATCCACAGAAATGCACAGCCCTTGACCTCCACGCCACCACATCCAGCATCCTGTTTTTACTTCTCTCGCTTGACAAATCTGCAGCCCAGGGCCCGGTTGGCCTCTTTCCAAGCCTCTCGCACACTTCCTCATTCCCTGTACCCCCCGCAGTTCCTATGCTAACAAAGAGGGTGTAACTTTCCACACCTTTCTGCTACACAGATGCATAGCACATCTATAACTCACAGGTTTGTGGGTTTATATGTTTGCTTTTTCTTACTGTTCACATTGTTTTAGGATTTCCTTTTTCATTTCATACTATATCCCAGATGATCTATAAAAACAGGAGATATGTTTCTAGCTCAATGATTTTTAAACTTTTGTATACAAATGAGTCTATACTCAGACATCAATGAGTTTTAACACATTAAAGTCATTACAGATTTGGAAATTAGAAAGAAAACCTGGATTGTGCACTGGGGTCCTCTTGAGAGTTTCCAGTGGAGCAGGACCAGTCATGGTGGATGTGCAGATGGACAGATTTCAGTTCAACGTGAGGCAAAGGGAGCATAACTGACCCTGGCCTCTGGCTCCCCTGGAGAGCCACATCACTAAGCAGCTAACTGAAAACATTTTTTTAATCTCTGTTTCAGGTCTAGATATTACATTAAAAAACATATTTTGCATTGGTAAGCAAAATGAAGTGTGACTCTAATGTCCTGACACTAATTCTGATGTCTCCTTCATCGTTGTCACCTTGAGGTGACAACAGTACTACTGCTTAAATGGTTCTTGAAAATTTTCCTTTAGCCTAAACATCTGTTTAAGCATTTATTTTTTCCCTCCATTTCCAATAGACAGTTATAAAAGTATTGCCTGCCCTGGTAAAAGCTGAATAAAACCCAGCCCCTACTGATCGGCTACTTTGCTGACCCTCTACAGTGCACTGTGAGGATCCTTTGTGAGACACAGCCCACCATCTGCTGAACCCGAGTTGCGGTTCCAACAACAGATCCTTTCTTGAGTCTTCCCAACTATACCTCTTCTAGGAATCTTCCGAAAATTCTACTTATCACAACAAATGTTTTCAAACATTAATCTCTTTTTTTAAAAAAATATTTTTTTTAGTTGTAGATGGACATAATATCTTTATTTATTTATTTTTATGTGGTGCTGAGGAATCAAACCCAGTGCCTGACACAAGTGAGGCAGGTGCTCTACCACTGAGCTATAGCCCCAGCCCAAACATTAACCTCTTAAAATGAAAATACCTGCAGAGTAGCAGCAAGTCCAGAGAACTGAAGGAAGACCTTGATATCTGATTGTGTTGAGCAGATTATAGTTGCTTTCACAGGGAAATTTCCACAAAACAGAATTCCCATCACTAACCAGAAAAGTTGTACCAACGAAATTTCCCATACAATACAAAACCAAAGGATCAATATGACAATAAAACCCAGAGCAAACAGAAAAGCCAAAAAGGATGACATGGAAAGAGGGAAAAGCAGACCCGGGGGCGACCTCCGGACACAATGACAAAGAGCTACTGAATCCAGTCATTAGAACATTAACTGAAGAGCGCCGACAGCCAGGCACAAGGCAGTGTCTTGCTGCGGTTAGCAGTGGCCTGGGCGAGATGGCCAGCCAGGTCTACCTTAAGGGGTGGCCACAGTGGTCCTCAGGTACAGAAGCCTGTTTTTTTTTTTTTTTATAGTCTGCAGCTAAGAATGATATTTATATTTTCAATATTTGGAAAAAAAAAGTAATGACATGAAAATTATGACATTCCATTTTTAGTATCCACAAACAATTCTGTGGGAACACAGCCATGTTCCCCTGACAGCTACTGTGTTACAGAGGCAGGACCAAACACTGAAACCTGCACGGGTGGCCTGCCAAGCCTGAGAGGCTTCCTATCCTCCCCTTTACAAAGAAAGTCTGCGACCCCTGTTCTAAATCAGATTCGACCGCCATCTGCATTCTGTGTGACCTCGGGCTGGTCTCTCCTTAGGAGGGGATGATGGCCAGGTCCCCTCTGCAGCTCGGGTTCAGAGCTGTGCCACCGGGCAGGAAGAGTGAGCAGGAGTGCCCACTGGTGCCACCTGCAGTCCAGGATGGAGATGGCATGCAGGAGGAGGCCTGTGAGTCGCTGGGTGGATCTCAGCAGGCCTCCTTGTGGGGGCTCCTATATAACTATCGCACACAACTGATGCCATCATGAACAAAACCTTGGCTGTCACCCACCTTTTAAACTGACAGACCTCAATTTCCAACAAATACATTTTCCCACATCCACATTTATAGTGAATACTCCCCCACAACAGAAGAACCTTCCAGTGTTCACTTCAGGATTCACTGAAGGAAAGCAAGTCACATACCCACACCACAACAAGGAGGACAATGAGTCAGCTCTTTCTGGGTCTCCGAAGGGAAAACAAGGCCTAGCCTGTCATCTGAGGATCCAGACAGCTCTGGGGAGTGGTCCTTCCAACACCTCACGGCCTGCGCACATTAGCTTCTGTGCATTAGGCAGGAGGGTTTTCCACAGTGAGAAAATCCACTCCCAAAGAATGAAAATAACTGAGTGGGGTTGTTGATTCTGCTGGCTCTGAACCCAACCCAGGACAGCTCAGCCCAGGGCTTCTCACCATGAGCCTCTGTGCCCAGCTTCCCATCCAGGGAGATGGGTGGAGGCTTGTGGTGAAGAGCTTTTATGAGATCCAAAGGACGTGCAGTCTGCATCTCTGCTCTCTGCAGGTGTGGTAGGGCCTGCAAACACAGCCACCTGAGCTGCCACCCCGGGGCCCTCCTGCTGCCCCCTCCATTGCAAGGTAGAGTCTGCTTCCGTTCCAGCTGGGGCCAGGCTTRCTGTGTGCTTCCGCAGAATGCACAAGCGCGATTCTGAGACCACTGAGCCCAGAGAGGACCAGAAGGGCTCACTTCTTCCCTGGTAGAACCCAGCCTGATTGGACCACTGAGTGACAGCTGGCACTGGAGAGACACCTCAGAGGCGAGGGCCAGCCTGAACATCGGAGGCAGCCATGTAGGACCCTACGTGAGCCACCCAGCTGGACCTCAGCCACCCCACAGGACTGAGGACAACAGGGTAGAAGTGGAAACTTCAGTTCTGAGCAACCGTTCAAGGCAAGGAAGACCCAGGATAGTTTGGTATGAGTTTTCTATATGGTGAAAAGAGTCTCCAACTTACTTCATCATCGTCATCTTCATCATCATCAGACTCAAGAACGCCATCAAGCAGCTCTTCTATAGGGGAAAAAAAAAAATATATATATATATATATACATATATTATATGAAAAAATATCAATGAATAGCCACAAACAGTGGGCGACTTGACCAACACAATCCTTCAGGCGCCACAGAGACCAGTGAGCACCATCAAGAGAATGAGTGCTGGGCTCAACCATTTCTCATCATAATCATTTCAGACACCGTTTGACATTGTCCTCAGAGATTTTAAATAAATCTCTCCAKTTTTACCAGAACATATTTAGAGTAGCATGAGGAAAATCCCAAGCCAGCACATAATTTGAGGGACCTTCAGGGAAGGGAAGTAAACTAATATTTACCACCAGGCATGGCAGCGGGCACCCCGACACTGAATCCTCACAACCCCCTTACAGCAAGAGGTGGAGGCACAGAGGGGAAGTAGAAACYGCATCTCCTTCTGTGTACAGGTGGGGTGGTGGCTGTGGCAGGGAGGTTCCCAGAGGCGCACTGCTACATCTTTAGCGTTCACAAACAAGCCTGGATTCATGGCGTAACTGAGCCAGAGAAAGAACGGACCATTTTACCATATGTAAAATGGGGATCCTACCACCTCCTTCTTAGGTGAAGCATCTGGCCCAGGTACACAGCAGGCATTTCATAGATGCAGGTTCCCTCCTCCATGATGCCTTCCCTGGTGCCCTCACTGAGCCCATCATCTCTCCCTCCCTGAACATGATCTGCGTTTCACCTGGAACTCCTGCCAGCACTCACCCTGTGGATGATCCTGCCTCCTAATGAATGGAGGGCTACTGACTGCAGGTGTCCTTTGCCCCTACTCTACTGGGTTGTGAGTATCTGGGGATGGAGCACCTGACTTCCTCCTCCCTGCGCTCCTGCTGCACCTTCCTTGTTAGCACTGGTTTGGTGAAAGTAAAGAAAGCCTGAGAAAAGAAAGGAAGTCAAAAAGAAGGAAGGAGAAAGAAGGCGTCAAAGGCCATACTTAGAGTTGGCCTTAGCACGGGGCCTGACAGAGGCTCCTACATTAATCAAGCACCAAGCCACGGCCTAGGAGGGCGTCACCAACGTCCTGACAGCCTCAAAGTGAGGTCTCTGCTGACCTCACTGGTCTGTGGCCAGCAGGACACCAAGTCTGTCCCCACCTTGATGAGGTTTGCATGTCTCTACACCCATCCCAAGCCACACCACTGTCACAGAATGCCAGTGAGTTCAGAAAGCTACTTTGCGGACATAAATCTGTTAAGTCATTCTGCATTTTGGCTGAATTTAATTATCTAACTTCTCTTCCCTTCTCAGACACAGCATATTCCATTCCATCTGCAGGAAATGCCTTTCAAAATGGCGGTGCTTCTATGGTCACCAATTACAAACCCCTCAGGTTCTCTGTGGAAAAGTCAAGTAGTCCAACACACGCCCTGTTCTCCTTCTTGGCCCAGCCTCTCTTCCCTAACCCACAATCTCTTCATCTATTGGCTCAGACTCTTCCCACCACCCAGAACAGGGCTGGTCCCATGTACTAGAAGACCTGGGTCCGGGCTCCCCCACCACTCACTCCTGAGTCGGTGCACAGCCACGCTGCCCTCCCCAGTACCGCTCTACTTTCTCCTGCCTGTGGACCAGGCTAGCACCGCTGTTTCTCTGCCCTGACTGGCTATGGTCTGCCAGCTCCCTTGCAGAGGGCTGGAACTGTGGTCTGGGCCCAAGCCAGGGATAAACCTCCATACTGCTGTTGGCTATAGCTCTGCTTGTCACTGTCACCAAGCTGGAATTTTCCTTTAGGCTTCACCAGACTGGTGTCTTCCCACCTATGGGGTTAGGCTCTTAGATACTCTAAAATATACCCACAACTTTGTACTTGAAGATCTTAAAACTTCACTGGAAAAATAGCACTGGTGGGCTGATAGCTACGGGCTCGAATGTATGAAAACCCACTCCTGTGCTTTTAAGTTTACTAAAATAAAACAAGGAAGTCTCTAAATAAAGATAATGGTAATGTCATTTCATGATGGTGGTTGTTTTTCCTTGCAGTGCTGGGGATTGAACTCAGGGCCTCTGCATGCCAGGCAAGCACTCTACCGCTAGGACACACCACCAGTCCTTCACATAACTTAAACTAGGAAGGTGGCCCCAATCCACACTCTGTTAGTTTCCATGTGAGTAGAAACACTGAGCAGAAGTTCTCTAGTTCCATTATTGTCTTGACTGGCTGCTGGTGGCACGTGTCATAAGGTGTGAGTGTGTGCTTTTGAATCTAGTTTCAAACTAGCAGACTCCTGGGTAGTCATCTCTGGGTTCTGCCTCCATAAAGAACAACTTAGATACTTTAGATGAAGAAAGAAATATTTTAGGTCCCTTATTTGAACAGCAACTTGCTGAACTTTTGGGTAGGTATTTCCCAAGCCTTCCAGAATCCCCAGGGCTATCCAGCTGTAGTTCTGTCCACGACAACTTCTTGCCAGAGTGGTTCCTTACAAAGATGTGAACTGTCTCCTCCCTCATGGCAGCCTGGCATGTTGAGCCAGGGCAGTTTTACATAAGGGAAAGTTGACTCTTATGCCAGGGAGCAAATGGAGCCTGCATCCTGCTTCTTGGCTTCCAGGAAGACTGGCAAGAAGATGGATGTGCATTTGTCTCAACGACTCAAACACAGGCAGCCTGAAGAAGATTCCAACCCAAATGTGACCTTGAAGTTGCAGAGAACCCCTGGCCTGAGAGGGAGGACTTGGCGCCACTAATGACCAAGAAGCAGACGGGCAACAACTACCCACCTCCGTGGCAGCCCACCCAGAGAAGGCGGGAAGCAACCTTAGCCGAGACTCGGGCAGGCTCGTTCACACTGTACCTGTTTCATCACACCAGCCTGGGCGGGCTCGGAGTCAGAACTGAAGTCCCTGGAGAAAATGAAGCTCTATTCTCTGCCCACCTGAATTTGGGATGAGTTATACTTGCTCCATAAGAACCAAAGAGGAGGACATTCAAATAGGACGGGCAGGTAACCCACAGCTCCCTGGCCACTCACTCCTGTGGCCTCTTCTCTGCCTGGCAGCAGGCTCCTCTTGGCTGCCCTGGTACCACCTGTCCCTCGAGGCCCTCTCTCTCCTGTGGGGATTCTAATTTAAATGGTGTGGGTGCAGCAAATCTGCCCAGGTGCTGTGAGGCTTGAACCGGGAGCAGAGACACAGCACCTGTGGGCTTCTGGCGTTTCCCTGGAGCTTGGCTCTGGTCAAGCAGTGACTTGTGGCTTACCTTTTGCTCATGTTTACTTGCACTGTTGGTGTCAGGGAAGGGCACACGGAGAGTCAGAGGGGACAAACTGCCCCCAATGCTGGCAGCACCAAGGGCCTCTGTTGAAGAGTCCACACCAAGAGCCAAGAGCTCCTCCCCCACCCCATCCAAGGCTCCCCTGGCCTTCCTCTCCTGCTTATTATGGGACACGTGGCTGTGGTAACAGAAGCAGCTCAACAGAAGGAGGACCTTGCTTCTAGATGAAAATCATACATCACCTGGAGTGAATGGATCACCAAGGGAGGTGTGGACTGTACTATCTGACCCCAGGACCTGGGGAAGTCACCCTTTGGGGCAGAACTTAGGAGGRGAAAGGGAGAGGCCCATAAAGAGAACTTACAAGGTTAGGGAAGGGTTTCTGAAATTGCTTTTAACTTCTTTTTGTTGACTACAGGCCCTAAAGTATGATAAGAGACTGTTAATCTTTGGACACTCTGGCCTTGACTACTGGCTACACTGTGAGTTCACCTGGGCCTCCCCACTTCCCTAAAGGCCAATGACGTCCAAGGAACCCCAAGCCCCACTGAGAGAGCCCCACATCCTTCCGACACATGCAAACAGTTCAAAAGCAAGGCGTAGGTTCTTGCATTAAACTGACCGGAATTGAGCTGCTTGATGATGAACTCCATCTGGCGGATCATCTCAGCATTGCCTTCTTTGATGAAGCAGCGCAGGATGTCTTCCATCCCCTAGAAGCACAATGCACACAATGCTCTAGTGTTTTCAGTTTCATCTCATCCAAAAAAGAATTTCTCTTTTTTTGGGGGGAAGAAGATACATACAATAAAAATCCTCTGCTTACTACTAAATATTCTTTTTGTTCCTTTTATAAGTCACAGTGAGATTTTCTTCTGGGTTGACTGTCTGACTTCAAAATAACTTTATAACGTATTTAGCTTAAAAACAATTGTAAAATTTCCCTGCATAGTACTGCCTTGAGTTTTGGCAATTTGTTGAGAGATGATTTCTTTCCTGTGTTTTCCTCTATTTATTCAGTGCCTTCTGGATTTTAGGGCCAAATATGGCCTTCAAAAAGTGGAACATTTGTTTAGAGAAGTAAATGAACAAACAGAAACTCTTTAAACAGCCTTCATTCTTTTTCTATCGTAAGAATTATAGATACTACGCTACGTCATTATGTTATTGTAATTAAAAAATATATTTTTAGCTGTAGATGGACATGATATCTTTATTTTATTCTATGTGGTGCTGAGAATTGAACCCAGGGCCTCACAAGTGCTAGGCAAGCGCTCTACCACTGAGCTATGACCCTAGCCCCTATTGTAATACGTTTGACACTGCACAATCACAGGGAGTAGGCGAGTTGACTTGAACATGGTGTCTAATTCCTCTCCTTCCTCTTTCCCTGAAGGACGGGAGTTAAGCACGCAGCTGGAGCTGTTGAGACTTTCTTGCCACCAAGATGGGGAAGCATATCTAATGATGAACCCAACACAGAAGAAGCAGAGTGCAGAGGTGGTAGAGAGATGGATCTGATGCCATGCAAACCCTGATCAAACCATGCTTGAAGCTTATCCTGGACTTCTTGGTTACATGAGCTGATATGTTCCCTTTTTAGGTAGGCCAGTTTGGAATCAGAGAAGTGTCAAGAGCAGAAGAGGTTAAACTCTCATGACCCAATGAAGAGAACTGCTTCATAGAAAGGTTAAATCAGGATTATCATTTGGATGGTAATCCTAGCTCCTACGTGGATTAACTGTGCGACCTTACTCAAATTACTCAACTTCACTCAGCCTGTTTCTTCAGTTATAAAACGAGGCTGCCCCTCAAGATGACAGGAGACTTAAAAGACCACTATGTAACTGGGTATTAGTTATGTAGATGGATACATGTGTCGGGATGCACTGAGCCGAACGAGGAAGGCCTGAGCATCCACTGTTTGCCAGTCACACCTAAATGATGGCATCTTGTGCCGTGGCTGGCACCTATGTCTACTAGACAGGAGAGGCTGCCTGGCTGTGTCTGGAGGGCTAGTGGCTGGGGTGAACGACCCGGCAGCTAAGTCAAGGGGATTACAGCAGAGTGAGAAGAGCAGAGGACTGGGACAGAGTGAGAGAACAATGACATTTCATTGGAAGATCGACGGGTAAGCTCACAGAGACCCTGAGAAAACAGTCTACAACGGGAGAAGGCCTTGAAGGAGTCTCTGGAATCAAGGACAGGGTATTTCAAAGAGGACTGGGCAGCACTGTCCAGCTCCTGTGTGGCCAGCCAAAATATCTGTGTTTGTCTTRCAAAGGGACAACCACCAACATCTGGCGTGGACCTTGGCTGAGAGGAGAGCTGACTTTGCTGTCTCTGTCTTATCAACTGGTCTCACTCTTACCGTCCATCCCCACTTCCCAGGGAAGGGCCAGGGAAGGGACACTGTAGGAGTGACAGCTCCATCAGCCCGACATGCCCAAGAGCAGAATCAAGCACAAGTAGCTTGGGAATGGAAAGTCCTCAACCTGTGCCCCAGGAATGGGACAAAGAATCCATTCAGGCTCGCTTCTACCTTTTCTTCCCAGATGTTACTTTTACGAGTGAGTATCTGCTCTTATCTTTATAGATCTTTTTATTTTCACTCACTCTCTTTCATATGGCTCTAACTCAGTTGTTACTTGGAAAACAAACAATAAATTCCTGTGTAATGAGGAGGATCACCTGGGGATGCTTTTTTAATAGGAAAGAGTCCAGTCAGAAATTGTACTTATTTTTAAAACCACATATATTAGGTAAAGTTTAATCTGAATTATAGAAATGAGAAGTCATAAAAATAACAGTATTTGACCCTGAAAGTAATAACTCATTTTGAAGATAATCCTGGCCTAATACAAACACTCAGGTTAGATGGAAAGGAGAATATCAGCCACATGTGAAAAGGAATTGCAGGCTGAATGGAAGCAAAGAGGGAACTCCCCCCAGGAGGTCAAGGTTAGGATCATTGCAGGAAACAGGTGGAGTGGCCCTTATCTGAAATGCCTGGAGCTTCAGGGTTTTTGGCTTTGGGAACATCTGCAGAGCTATCTTAGGCGCCCCCAGACCCGTGTCTCAACACAAAATTCATTTATGCTTTGTCAATATCTCATACACATGCCATCAAGATGACTTCATACAATATTTTAAATAATTCTTTTTTATATAATATTTTTATTTTTTAGTTTTCGGCAGACACAACATCTTTGTTTGTAATGTGGTGCTGAGGATCGAACCTGGACCGCACACATGCCAGGCAAGCGCAATACCGCTTGAGCCACATCCCTAGCCCTATTTTAAATAATTCTGTGTGTGAAACAAAGTTTTATGATGCAGAATGTTGTACCTATATTTCATGTCTATGCTCCAAAAGTTTTAGAGTTTGGAATATTTAAGATTCTAGATTTTTGGATTAGAGATGCTCAATATGAAATAACACAGAAGACAGTGTTTGTATTATAGAATTTAAGGAAGGAAAACATTTATCATATCTAGATTTTTCATTAAAGATGAGATTAGGGATAGGAGTCTAGAAAGAAATTGGTATGGAAAGGGTGCTTGCCTATTATGTGTGAGAACCTGGGCTTGATCCCTAGCACTGGGGGTGGGGGGGAGAAAAAGATTAAATTAGTTCTCATTTCTAAAGAAGCACTGCAGCCTGAGGTGTGGAAAGTTCTCAAAACAAACATGCATTTGGCCCCTACACTAGCTGTGTGGCTCCAGGCCCAGAAATCTACCTCTTACATCAATGGGGACACAGCCACAGCCACTCCTTTAGGGGCTTTGAGGACTGAGTGGGCTGAAGCACCTTGCACAGAGGTAGACAGCGTATACTGAACACCCACACAGCCCTCCAAACGATCCCACCTCTCCCTTATGCTCAGCCGTTCAGCTCTATACCACATTCTATTTTGTTCCAGCCCAAATAGTCTAATCTACCACTAAAGGTCTTCAAGAGAAACTTCCCTCTTGGAAACTCAAATATCTATTTTAGGTGAATAAAAACATTTTCCTCTAATTCTGAAAGTCATTCAGGTTTTCCACTAAAACTTATAAGCTATATAAAATAAACAGCCAGTGTACATGATGGAATTCAAGTGACTTGGGAGGCTGAGACAGGAGGATCATTAAATTCAAGGCCAACTTCAGCAACTTAGCAAGAGCATGTCTCAAAATAAAAAATAAAAAAGGGCTGGGACCCAGATGCCTATCAATAGATGAATGGGTTAAGAAAAGATGGACTTTTACTCAGCCACAATGACTTTATGGATGTGAGGGCAATCTGGCTGCAACATCTGTCACTCCACTGATGGCCAGAGTTGATTCGGCTGATCCCACTGGCTAGGCGGGTGTCCCCTTCCTCCCCCACAAGCTGTGCACTCAGACAACCTTCCCTGATAAAGTAGAACTGTTCTTCAGTCAAGAGTAGCTGCACTCCCCTGCTAGAACCTCCAAACGAGCTCTGGTGAATAACGACTTTATGACATTAGCTGGTAAACGGATGGAAATGGAGAACATCATGCTAAGTGAAATAAGCCAACTTCAGAAAATTAAAGGTCACATGTTACCGGGCACACACCTGTAATCCCAGCAGCTAGGAAGACTGAGATAGGAGGATTGTGAGTTCAAAGCCAGCCTTAGCAAAAGCAAGGCCCTAAGCAACTCAGTGAGACCCTGTCTGTTATAAATAAATGAATACAGTAAAGAAAAAAAAGGGGTATAACTTAGCAGTAAAGTGTCCCTGGGGTCTAGCCCCATTAAAAAAAAAAAAAGAATAAAATATTTCTCTGCATAGAGATAAAACTGAACATTCTGAAGTATTTCTTCTTTTATGGCTATTGTTTTACACAATTGAGATCATACTGTTATAATGCTGTTTTTTATTTTTAAATTTAACTACTATTTTCTTGTGTCAATATAAAGCTCATACACAAAGTTTTAGTAGCTATAATAATAATAGCAGCTAAGAGCACCTCTCAATGCTCACTCAGTGGCAGGCATAGTATGTGAGCATTAGCTCTTTTGATTCTCACAATTCCAGGTGTTTGGTGCTACAGTAATTCCCACGGTGCCCAAAGACAACCAGGAAACGGCAGAGCAAGACTGGAACACAGTTCAGAGCTGCCATCTGAGCTGGAGCCAGAGTCAGGACGCAGATTTCATAAAGACCCTTTCAGGGAAGACTATCCCACTCAAGGTTGATGGACACCACAGAAAATGTAAAGGCCAAGATCCAGGATGGGGGAGGAATTCCTCCTGTTCAGCAAAACCTGACCTTAGCTGGTCAGCACAGGAAGGAGGACATACTTGGTCTGACTACAACATTCAAAAGGAGTCTACCTTTCATCTAGTGCTGAGGCTGGTGGTGCTAAGAGGTCTTACCCCACTCCCAGGAAGAACAAACACAAGAGAAAGAACAATAAGTTGGCTTTCCTGAAATACTATAAGGGGGACGAAAATGGCCGACAGTTATTCACCTTTGCCGGGAGTGCCCTTCAGATGAATATGGCACTGGAGATTTTATGGCGAGCCACTTTGACAGACATTATTGTGGCAACTGCTGTCTGACTGATTAATTCAACTAACTAGAAGACCATTAATGTGTGACAACAACAGCAACAAAAAGACAGAACACTGCTCCGGCTGGGCRTGCCCAGGGGACACCTCCCTTCCCTGCCTGTTCTTACTCCTTCCCCAACTCGTTCCCCCGAGTGCTGCCATTTAGGTTGTTCCCTGGTTTCTACTACAATCAATAACGCTGCAGTGAATATTTCAGTATATACTATCTGGTCATGGTGTATGTGAGCTCCAAAAGAATTACTGGGCAAAGAATATGAATGTTTTTGAGGATTTTATATATACATGTATGTGTGTGTGTGTGTGTGTGTGTGTGTGTGTGTGTGTGTGTAGCCAAATTGCAAAGATGTTCTACCAACTAATCATCTCAGTCAAATTTCCACACTAATTTTGAAAGGTTTTTCCCTAAGGGCACCATGGAATCTAGGTAGGAGGCTAGGCAGCCCCCTGTGGTGTACAACTGCTATGCTCCTAGCTGGAGAGTACTGTAGGGCTAGTGACACCCCAGCCCTTGTTATTTTTTATGTTGAGACAGGGTCTTGCTAAGTTGCCCAGACTGACCTGGAACTTGTGATCCTCCTGCCTTAGTCTTCCAAGTAGCTGGGATTATTGATGTGTGCCTGGTTGAGAAGCAACTTTTAAACAGCTTCTCCACACTTATGCTTATTATATTAGTACCAAATACAATTTTACTGGTCTTACCATGTCACCAAAAGGAGAAAAAAAGGGGGGGGGGAGAAAAAGGCAAATGAGTCCCTTGAGGCCCCTGTAAGCTGGCTGAGTTGTGGAGCGGGAGAAGAGCTCAGATAAATAGGGCTGCCTGACACTCGGGCTCAGGCCTCGGGCAGCAAGGGCTCGATTACTTGGGCAGGGTATCAGCCAATGACTGGCATCCCAGCTTGCTTTGCAGCGAGGGTACTGGCACCCAGCCTAGATGCTGCCAAAAATGTACCTAGGTGAAGCTTGTGAATTGGAAGCAGGCAATGTGAGAAAGTGGGCAGGAGGGAACACACATCTTCTGGAAGAGTGGATAGCAGTGGCACCCAGACCTCTGGGGAGAGTGGAGGAGAGTTCCTGGCACAGTAGGCATGAGCTGTGGGCAGCCCATGGAGCACAAGGGCATTCCTTCAGGCTGGGTGCCCCCACGCCCAGTTCCCTGGTCTCCCAGAGGTTCTATAGCCTTCCTACCTAGCACCACATCTGGTCTGCCCCAGCTCTGCAGAATGCTCACAGGGGCTCTGGTCCCAGGGAAAGGGCACATGGTGACAAGTACTCCAGCTTGGTACTAATCGTACTTGGTACTAATATAATTTTATGCATGTGCTGTCATTTTCCATAAGCACACAAAGGTTTTACCCAGTTGCTAAAACAGAATTCTTATAATGACATGCTCTGCTTTAATTCCTCATGATGTAATAAAATTTTCATTCTGCCTCATCCTGCTTTTCCTAATTATCATCTTCTAAAGTTATTAACATCGTGAACAAAAGAACCACAATTTCATCAGCAATTATGGCAAAAATTATGTTACTTCCAGGTTTTCAACATTGTAAAAATGTTAAAATGAGCATCACCCAGCACTGAGTTCCTCTCTGCATCAACAACCGCAGGGAAATGAACGAGCCCGAGATGGGCACTGCAGTGGGTCTCACCTGTGGTGCGCAGCTGCTCTGCAGAAGGACTGTGTGACCCTCAGCTCAAACACCAGCAGGGCCCAAGGACATCGGTTCTGTCTCCCCTTCCCTGCACTGCATGAGCAGAGGGTACAGTGGGGAGGTTGTGGATAGCGTTTTTCTTGTCTTGTTCCTCTAGTGCTTAGCATTCCCAGCATCCCTCGCAGCTAAGGCGAAGGCAGGTGCACAGCTGAGACGCTGACCAGCAAATGCACCATGCAGCCTCATACCCAGTAAGAATGTCTGGCTTTATTTACCTAAAAACTCCCTCAAGGATAAAAGTGTAAAGAGGGAACCCGAGGATTTAAGAGAAACCTTACTGTGGCCATAATCACCCTTTTGAGGCCACTTTACAAATCGTTCAATAGGCAACCGCCTGGGTGTTGTGTCTAAAAAGTTCCTCAGCTCAGGCTAACAGGGGTGGGGGAGGCTGTCGGGAGCTCATGACTCTGACCTCCATTCAAATGCCAGAGGAAGCCTACACTCAGACCTTTATCTGAGCAATTCAAATTTTCTCTTAAAAGTCAAAAACTGAAGTGTTTGTTTTTCACCAAGTTGCTTCATTATCATTCAATCTTTTTTCTGTGTCATTATCTCCCACTCTCCTCCTTCTGGGACTCCTGTTAGACAGATGTTAGAGCTGCTCATAGTGCCACTCAGGACCCTGGGGCTCTGCTGCCGCATTTTTCCTCCCTGGCCTGATGATCTGCAGGATGCCCTGTTCTGCTGAGCTACACCTTGATGATCTCAGGGGATGTGGTCCCTGTCCCCTGACTGCACTCCCTCCCGTCATCCCCACCTTTGCTGGATGTTCTCAGGGCCTTGTGCATTCTAGGTATGCATTGTAATATTGAGCTACACCCCAGCCCTTGCCTTTTTTGATGYCACGACACCCCATCCTTTCCTCCTACATGCCATTCTCCTGTTCCTTCCTTGATTAACAATCTTTCTCTTTCACCTAAATGACCACAGTGAGGATTTAATCAAGCTTTTATTTCCTATTTCCTATTGAAAATGCAGAGTTTTTAATTTAAAAGTAGCAGGCGACTCAGTTCCACTGTTTGGTAAGCTGGTATAACTGTTAATGTGATTTAGAAAACCAAAACCAAGTAGGAGATTAGGCCATTCTAAGGAAGCAAAACCAACTGGGGGAATGTTCTGGTTTCAATCTGACATCATCCTGTGTTTTGAGTGGGGAAATACATGTAATCCCTTCACCGCAGCATATAATAAACGCATGGTTACCCTGGTTTCACATGGTACAAAGAAAAAGAACAAAACTTGAGTGGCTTTGCTTATTAGATCTTGAAACATTCACCTCTCCAAATAAGACACTAATCACCTGGTGCTGATTTCACTTGAGCATAAGCACTAATGCAAATACACTAAACTGGGAACTTGCCGTTTACCAACCAACTTGAGTACTGCACTTTTGCAATCTTTGCAGCTTGTCTGTTCCATTTGCAAAAATAAACTTGCTGGAAATTTCTTAACACTGCGGTTCTTAACCATTTAGAATTTAGGGATCCCCTTGAGATTCTGATAAAAGATATAGACTTTTCCCAGAAAACTTTCTTTTGTGTGTGGTGCTGGGGATTGAACCCAAGGCCTTGTGCATTTGAGTCAAGCACTCTACCAACTGAGCTACATCCCCAGCCCCTGCCCAGAAAACTGCGAATACATATTTAGCATGCCATTTCAGGGAGCGTGGGACCTGTGTGAAGCCTGCCCGGCCCTGTGGAGGCAGTGCGTGCCCCAGCAGCTGGGCACTTGGCACTGACAGGCGCCCACAGCACTCGGCGCTCTCTCTTACCATTGCTCTTGCCTCCTCACGAATGGATGGAATAGAAAGGATACTGTACAGCGCTCCGTTCACATATGGCTGTATCTTTAAGGGGAGAAAAAGACAGTCAATTGCAAGTTTTCAAATACTTCACAACTCAATTATCAAACACCACAGCTGGCTGAGGAGGAGAGGGCRTCCATCTCTCCGGAGTTCAGGATGCATGTTTTCAAGTAACAAACACCTCTATTTGTATGTTCTAGGGATCTCTACAACCAGGAGTCCAAAACCAAGGCCATCTCTCCGCCCAAGGCCTCCTCCTGCTGTACTCCACTGCTTAAGTCATTTCTATCCTGGTCACGGAGCCTGGGAACTTTAGAGTCGTCACGGATTGCTCGGAACTCCTGGGTTGGGTCCTTGAAAGGACCCTTCTATTCCACATCTGTTGCTGCCGTCCTGTTCACACATCACTGTCCATGGCCCAGCCTCCACCCGACACCTACCCTTTAACCCAACCATCCTATCATCRCTGAAATTCTACAGCATGGGCTGATTGTTCCTGCCCCCACCTTGGAGCCTTCCAAGCRCCCATGGCGAAGTCCTAGCTTCTTCCACACACTGTGTGTACACACACAGGCTCCTCCAGGGGCCGGTGCCCACACCACCTGCTCTGCTCTTCCCTCTGCACTGCCCAGGGTGCCCACACTACTTGAAGGACCCCCGCCACATGTTCCTGGTGCACGTACCTCAGCCCTGGCTGCTGCAGTTCCCCTTATGGGAAAGCTCTTCCCACATGTCCATCTGGACAGCTGATTCTGCCTTTCACACCAAGCTCCGACAGAGATTCTAGGAAGCTCTTCCTGAAAGCTCTGCACATGGTGCTCACCTCTGCTCCCTGTTCAACCCTCTACTGCTCTCCTGAATTCTGTGACTTTTTTTTTTTTTTCTTGTACAGGAGATTGAACCCAGAAGCATTTTTAAAAATTTTTAATTCTGAGATAGGGGCTTGCTAAGTTGCCAAGGCTGGCCTCGAATTTGTGATCCTCCTGCCTCAGCCTCCCAAGTAGTTGGGATTAGAGGTGTGTACCACTGTGCCTGGAGACTCTGTGGGTGGTTTTTTTTTTTTTTTTTTTAATATACAGGAAGTCTCTTCCTTTAGGACCTCTGAGGAGAGGACCATTCTTAAATCATACAGATAACACCAACATTAAATGAACACAGGACAGGTCACAGCTGGCTTGATGAGTGAGAGTCACCTGTTCTGTGGACTGTGTGCTGCTCTCTCCACAGCCAGAGAGAGGGCACACTGGCCACCACCCTTCCTAGCACTGGGGCGCGCTCGCACTCGCTCGCTCGCGCTTGCGCGCGCGCTCTCTCTCTCTCTCTCTCTCTCTCTCTCTCTCTCTCTCTCTCTCTCTCTCTCTCTCTCTCTCTCTCTCTCTCTCTCGGTTCTGGGGATTGAACCTAGGGTGACTTTACAACTGAGCTACATCTCCAGTGCTTTTGAATCTCACTAAGTCGCTGCGGCTGGTCCTGCTTCAGCCTCCCAAGTCCCTGGGATTTCAGGCGTGCGCCACCGTGCTCAGCTAAGAGCTCAATGGTTTTTAAACATAAAATGCACGGCACAGACTTTAACAGCCCCTGAACTCCACCTGCTGAAGAAACCAGGTCCTCAGCAATGATGCTGTGAGCCTCRGAGCTGTGGGTGAAAGGAGTGGCCGGAGCCATCTGCCTGGAATGGGAYGGACCAGTGGGAACCCAGGGCTCCCGCGTGACCCTGTGGTCTTGTTACTGTGTCCTGCTAACATACGCCCCTGCACCTGGTCCATGGAAAGAGGTCTGACTTTGGCTGCAGGTGAAAGGCAATGTTGTAGCTTGTACAAAGGCGGCTGCAAAAAACAAGAGAAGCAYCACCTTTGCTGGCTTTTGTTGATTTGTCTTCCTACAGCTCTATTTCACTTAAAAAAAAGGTTTATGGTCCATAAGCTTCGAAACTTGGAGGATACCACCAGGTGGGAGGGGATGCTGGTGAGAACAGCTGGTCCAGCTGTTCTAGAGGACAATCTGGGGGGACTCAGCCACAGCCTGGTGTATGCTGCGAGTCGGTGGTGAAAAGGGTCCACACCCTGGGGAAGCTCTGCGCAGGCTCGGGTGGGCAGGTGCCTCACTTAGGATGGCTGTGGCAGCAGAGCCGGAGTCGACCCAGTGTCTACCCTGGGAGACAGGTAACATGGAGGGGCGTGGCAGTGGCGAGACTGAGTGAACCAGGGGCATGTACAGGAGCCCAGGAAGGTCCCAGCAGCACAGGAAAACTCACACCACACAAGCTCCACACGTGCAGGGTATGGCACAGATGTGGTATCATGTACTTTAAGGCCACATTCGTACCTGCTACGGACAACATTAATGCGAGCGCTGACACTGGGGGGAGATGAAGCCGAGAAAGAYGATAAGGAGAAAAAGTGAGGTACAGCAGGGACCATCCCCAAACACGAGGACTTGGGGACACACTCCCTGCTCTGAGCTCCAAACTTTTAGATCATAAAAGATTTGAAGTCGTTCATAAAAATACCTGCAGGAGGGAGCGTGTGTACACTTGTCAAATGCAGCCACTGCTGCAGGCCAGCCCCTTGGCTGCAGGTTGCAGGCACCAGTGTTCCCCCACACCCGGGGCCAGCAATGCTGACCGAGTACCTCGTGATTTTCGTGGCCAAGGAGATCCGAAAGGACTTTCAGCACCAGGCCTGCCACCTTGGCACACATGTTCTTCCCTGTGGGACCAAAACAAAACATGACGCATCTGAACTCAGAAGCACAGTTTCATGTAGGCAGACCTGAGTACAAGCCTGGCTGGTCTGTTTATGCTATGTTGTGATGGAAGGCAACACAGGCCTGGGTGTAAAAGGAAATCAGAACGCTGTTGTGGAAGACTACAGTGCCTGGGAAAAGGACAGTCCCCTCCCGTTATGACCCCTACCTTTTGGACTGTAAATAACTACCTGCAGGAATCTACTCCCCTTTGAAGTGCTGCGGCTTAGCCCAAGGCTAGAGATTTATTGGAGGCCTGTGAGAAGAGCCAGTTCCTCCCCGTTTCACACTCTGCTTCTGTAAACCTACTCCTGGTAGAAACTAGAAATTTTATGGCACCAGATAGTCTATTAAGGTTGTGAGAAGCTGCAGATGGGGGCTCAGAATTTGGAGGGTGACCTCCTCTGGGACCACTGGCATAAAAATAAAGTTTGAGTTCTCCCACTCTCCAAGTGCCCCTTGCCGCTTCTTAAAGGGTCTGATTCCAGCAACAATGTGACCGYGGGCCTCAGTGTCTCCTCTTTAAAACAGCAATTATCTACCTGAAAGGCTGATGGAGAATTCAGTGAGGTGGTGGACATGAAGGACTTAAGGTGGCCGGAGCCCCCAGTGCCCWGTAATGGGCTGTGGCTCTTACTGAGTCGGCACAGACTGATCCCGTACAGGTGGTGGTGCCACCGTCTCCCTGAACAAGCAGGGAAATGGCTTAGGATGCTCAGAGAACCTCCACCACCAGGGAGGGGTGAGAAAAGGATTAGGAGCAGGAAGCACGTTAATGTCACTGCTCCTGCCACCAACTTAATCCTGGAGAATGCTGGGCGCACAGTCCTCAGGCTTCAGAGAAGGGAATCAGGATTCCTAACTTCATGCCTTTGAATAACTTAATGAAGATGAAAGGAAACACGAATGAATTCAGTCTCCTCTTCCTGTGCGAAGTGCATACATATAAACACTCTTTCGAAGGCCAGACCGTATTTTGGCCTTGGGGACTCAGCAGCTCTATACCTAGCTGGAAATACTTCAGGCTGTCTTCTTTTTCTCTGAGGGAGACAAAAAGCAAGCCCCCAGGGCTCACCGGGAACCTGGACTCTGGTCAGGATCTCTTCTCAACCCCCACACCAGAAAATACAGGATGGGGGAGACCTGCGCTGCGGAGGCAGAGGTTCATGAGCAAAGCCACGGCGTACTCCAGTGTGTAGTCAGACAGGCAATCCGGGTCCTTCAGAATGTCAATCAGCCAGAAGATGAGGCCGTCTCGAATCATCGCTGTCTGCAGTGGGCGCCTGGGACGAAAAGGCCTGAGGTGAATTAAAACTGGCCGGCGGGGCTTGTCACCCAGGAGATACAGCTCTGCGTCATAAAAGAAGGCCTACGGAAGATACAGACTCTGAGGCATTTTTTTTTATCATTATTAAGCTGGTCCAGATGAATAACAAAATCCTTTACTTTCAGGGATACGATGAAGCGTTTAAAGGAAGAAGTAATAAGGAGGCTTCCTCCTTTGAAAGTTTCCTTTTCCATATTTAAAATTAGCAGAGTATTACCTCAATTTGTGTGTGTGTGTGTGTGTGTGTGTGTGTGTGTGWGACACTGGGGATTGAACCCAGGGGTGCTTTACAACTGAGCTCTCTCTCCAGCCCCCAACTTTTTAAAACAATTTGAGATAGGGTCTCACTAAGTTACTGAGGGTCTCACTGAGTCGCTGAGGCTGTGAACCTCCTGCCTCAGCCTCCCAGGTAGCTGGGATTACAGGTATGCACCGATGTACCCAGCTTATTTCAAATATTTAATGAATATTCATCGACAGCTTTTGGTCTACTTAAATCAGAAAACAGGGCCACGGTAACACTTCTTTGAAAAATAGATTTTTGTTTCAACTCTATATAATGCAGCACAGGCACTTTGAGATGAATGAAAATAAAAACAAAAAAGAGCAAGACCCAGCTCAACGGCATTCTGACTAGGATCTCTACAGAGGAAGAGTGTGGTTTAATGACCCGGGAAACAGAAATTTCACCCAGCATCCAGGTGTAAGATTTTACAGAATCCAATACCTCTTCACAACGTATAATGGTGGATGTCATCATGTTAGCCTTAAGAACAGATGTCACCAAGCACAGTGCCACCATGAGAAGCCAACAGAATGATGTGAACATGTGAACACCAGAGAGCAGCCAGCACTTCCTCTCCTAATCAACGAGTTATGGTAAAATGACCGCCCAGGAAGAAGGAGCAAGTAACTGTTCAGGCCATTCCTGTAGYCACACAGATCTGACCGGTGTGGCCTCTTGGAACACATGGAGACTGCTCTCTGGGCAAGCCCACTGCTTTCTACTTTTATTGCAGAGACCCTGGAAAGCTGCAAAAAACATTAGGCCTATTTCTGCATTATCAGAAAGAACTACTTCTTCACCCAATCTTTTATCTGTACTTAAGTTTCCTAAACATAGTCACCATGAAGCTAAGCTGCTGTGTAGATAAACAGGAGCAAAGTGTTCGGACAAACTGAGCAGGAATAACTGGACAAATCACTTGCAGCTCTTTTCAGTTCATGAGTTACTACAAGAAATTGCCACCGGCAGGGACCTGGATGACAACAGACCTGAGCCTGTCCCTTTCCCCCGTGAAGCATGGACCGCTTAGATTACTTCACTCTGCAGGCTTCCGGTAATTAGGGAAAGTCAGTCCAATGTTAGCATGTGACGGGGAAAAGCATGTTCAGAAGAGGGTGGGCAAAAAGCTGGAGGTTCTAGAATTCTTCATAAAGTCAAAGATAAAATGAGGCAGTGCTGAGGGAAGCTGAACTCTGAAGATTTGCCATCTCCCTGGCAATTCCACTCCCAGAAGCCTCTCAAGGAAATGCAAATGCACCCTCACGCTGAGACTCACGGGGCCTCTCTATCAGATGGAGGGCTATTCGGCAATAACAAGGAACAAAGCACTGACAAGGGCTAGGACAAGAAGGAACCGTGAAAACATTACACTAAGTGAAAGACGCTGTCACAAAAGGACACACATTATCTGATTCCATTTGTGAAACATCCAGGACAAGTCAGTCTACTGAAAGGAGTTTGGTGGTCACAAGTGCTGGGGCAGGAACTAGGACAAATGGTACAAGGTTTCTTTTCGTGGTCACAGAAATATTCTAAAATTAGGTTGTAGTGATGGCTGCGCACCTCAGCAAATCTGCTAAAAACCATTGACTTCCACACTTAATATGTGAATTTTATGGTAAAGAAAGTATACTTCAATAAGCTCTCAATTTATAAAAACCTCTAGCAGGTGCCAGATCGGTTCAATAGTACCTGATTTTTCAATTTCTGATGGGGAGCTTCCAAGTCACAGCAGGGGGGTTGTTGGGACGGACACCCAGGGGCTAGAACCCCATGGTAAGATACACAAGGAGAAAAGGCAGGGCCTGTGCTGTGAGCCACTGGTCTCCACAACTGAGGCAGCCGAAGAATGCTTTTGGCCACACTCCCTGTGTCCTCCCAGGGGCTGCCAATCACACAGAGGACCAGAGACAACTTGAAAGTATTCATGTTTGTCTCTAAACCTCGCATGTGGCCTGAGACACAATCCAACAATTCAGCACCTGGAGGGCACTAATGACCTACTGGACACCACCAATGTCTCCTGGAAAACACAGTGATACTTTCATTGTCACACGTGCCTCCATTCCCAGCAGACTTGTGTAGCAGCTTAGTGGAGGAGAGAGAAGCTTTCTATATCTGTCTCAAAAAATCACCCAAACTCTCCTAAGTGTTCACAGAAAAAGTATTCCATTGATTCATGTGTCCATCCTCTAATATAACACTGTTTTTATATTGAAGCTACATATGTATTAAGCTAGGCCTTAGGAAGAGTGATTTTTCCCATTTTGTTTTTCTTTCCTAAGATTGTTCTAATTAGAGGCCTGTGCCTTTCCATATAAATTTTGGAATAAGCTTATCTATGTTTTCAAAAGTAACCTTGCTGGGACTTTGACAAGAATTGCATTAAACCAATAGGTCAATTTAGGGGAAAACTGATCCTACGTTGAGTTTATAAGATTTTTTAAATTTGTTCCTTCTTCATTCCTGTAACTATCACCCTGAAGGAAATATTTGTTAATGCCTAAATTTCCTGACCAATCTTATAACTCACCTTTTGGAGTGTGGTCTTCTATTGTCCCCATTCAGCCTGCCTAGGGTTGCCAAAACAAGGAAGCTCAAGCCCTCCTAAACCACATTACCCTCTTGTTAGGCAGTCTCAAATTGCTTTCTCCTCCAGACCCATGCCCAGATTTACCTTCTTGTTAAAATTCTCCAAACTTACATTTCTCATTCAGTCTTAATGTACCTAGATAATTCATGATTCTGGACCTTTCTTTCCCTAAACTTATAACCTAGCCAGGAATACCTCCCAAACTGTCCAACTATTTTGATCTTCTCCAAATTCAAGCTTACTCAATGCAAGAAATAATCCCCAAATAACCTAGCCATCTTGTACATGTTTATGCACAGTAGCAGGCCTAGCATATCTGACATCCAGAGCAGGTCTTTTTTTTTTTTTTTTTTTAGTTGTAGATGGACACAATACCTTTATTTTATTTGTTTCTATTTTTATGTGGTGCTAGAGATAGAACCTAGTGCCTCATGCATGCTAGGCAAGCACTCTACCACTGAGCCACAACCCCAATCCCCTGAAGCAGGTCATTTTTAATGCTACCCTCCTCTACAGGACAGGACAGCATTTAGCCCAGTAATAAGTGCATAATATGTATAGTAAAAATTGACCTTGTTTTAAATTTTGTTTTTTAGTTTTAAAACAATTCATTTACAAAGAATGAAGTTATATTTAAAAGATACACCATCTTTTATGGTTATGGGAATCAAATAAGCACTAAATGGCAGCTTAAAAAACTCAATCAGGCTCCACAGGACCCCCCATGACCTATGGCATGATCATCACCTGAGACTGAACTTCTGCAGGGCCCCAAGAATATTTTCCCGGGTGATGACGTCCTTGTCCTCCTCCTTCAGCCTTCCCTCCAGCATCCGCAGCACCTTAGTGTTCTGGGCCAGGTAGAGGCGGCCTAACGATACCCCAGACGAACAGGGGAGAGAGGAAGAATTAATCTGGTGGGCTCCAAATCACTTGCTATGAAAACTTTGCATGTAACACAACAACTTTGCATATTAGATAATTTTTTGTTCTAAAAGAAATCATTAAAATGCATTTCTTCTAAGAGTTGTTTTATTCAACCAACTATGTAATGAGGAGAAATTACTCTTCACAATCGCCTGTCTTCCATCTGCCTAACAGTTCTGAACCCCACGGTGAGATGTGCACGGAGAAAAGGCAGGGCCTGTGCTGTGAGCCACTGGTCTTTGCAACAGGGGCAGCCAAGGAATGCTTCTGGCCACACTCCCTGTTCCTCGACGCAGGCCCAGGCTGGAGAAGGTGGAAGCCATAGGGAGGATCCTAGAACACGCCTGAATGGGCACTACCTGTTGTGGACTTCTGTGCTGACAGACAGGTGTGATGTTTGGACACAAGTGTCCACAGTGCTATGGCACATCCCCAGACTATAATAAATGTCTGCTGAATGAATGCGATAATGAACAGATGAATGGATAATAAAATTTTGGAGTATCGTGTGTCGATAATTTGAAAACTCTTTTTATTTCCATTAAAAACAGCTCAAACAAGTAAGAATTAATGGAAAATAATGGCCCTTTGCAAGATCATTTTTAATTCAGTTATGGTGGCATGTTATCTTTTAAATTCTCAAATCCTTTAATTTAAGAGATTGTAGACTATTGAAGGAAGTGGTACACTGCTTATTGGAATCAGCTTTCATTGCTTCACCAACCTTATTTTGCCTTAAGTAGAAAACTATAGAAAAAGCATAACCTGTTACATACTTGAAAGTAATCTAAATAGTATTGTTCTAGCCCAAAGTGATAAAACAAGAAGAGTTATAAAATCAGCTCTTTTGAAAGCAACAAAATTTGCTGACAGAGATTACAGCATGGGGCTGGGGCTGGGGCCCAGTGGTAGAGCACTTGCCTGGCATGTGTGAGGCACTGAGTTCAATTCTCAGCACCMCATATAAACAAAGAAATAAATAAAGGTCCATCAATAACTAATAAAAATAAATTAAAGCACTATGACAAGAACGTTTAATTCTTACAAGGGACTTCCAATGAATTAAACAGTAATAAGATGAGGAGACATATTTCACCTCTAAGAAATGTGGGGGGACTCCTGCCCAGAGCCGCTCTGCYCTGCTCTGAGGAGCTGGGCCTTACCTTCTGCTAGTGACGCCACAGCGTTGACSAGCCTGGCCATGTACTGCCGCACCACCTCGCTCTTGGAGTGCAGCAACTGCAGCACGCTCCTCTGTGGGGGCGAAAGTGGAGAGGACGGGGGCTCCGTGAGGAGGAGGGCAAGGTGACAGCCGCCTCAGCAGCTCTGGTTGCTCCCTTCCTCTGCCTGGACTGACTGGAGGGGACAGACCAAAGCCAAACTTCTCCTCTGGAAGTCTTGGTTTCAAATAACACCTGATGAGACTTGGCAAAAAGAATTTATCCAGACTTCTAAATCAGATGAACTGACCACGCAGAACACGCAGCACAGCCRCTGGCACACAGGAAGCGAGGCTGCTGGCTGTCACTGTTGCTGAGCGTCACCGGTCAGGGCATCTGAGCTGGCTTCCTCCAATCCACAGCAGGCTACAGGAAAAGGGTTTTCTAAATTAAGCTGGGTGTAGGGGTGGGCCCAGAGAAGCAGAAGGCTGAGGCAGGAGGATTGCAACTTAGTGAGACCCTGCTCAAAATAATCAATGAAAGGACCGGGGATGTAGCTCAGTGAGTGGTAAAGTGCCCCTGATTCAATCCCAACTACAAAAATAAATAAATAAATAAATGAATAAGATCTAGATTAAGGGCTGAACCAACAGAATGAAAAATGTCAACACTACTCTGAAAGTGGCAATGCAGGCCTGGAACACCAGACCCAAGGCCACAGTGGGCAAGGAGGAAGCACCCAAGTTCCACTGCGTACTCCCCAAAAGGCCGACGGACTCGGGGAACCAGACAAATGAGTGAAAGGTGTTAAAGAAGCAGCTGGATCCTCCAAGGGTGGTGCAGGGGCACAGGGGTGTTCTTATGTGAGGGTGGCACAGAGGGTCTCTGGACTGGGGACAGTAGGCTCAGGTGGGCTGGGTTCTGCACCAAATGGAGGGGGATGTCTAAATAAAGATTGAAAAAACTGCCCCCCCACTTGGCTCCCAGACCCTGACCCTGGCAACCAGACCCTTACCTCTCTGCAGGACACGAGAAGACTCTTCTCGGAGGAAAGTGACCACCCCAGGGGAAAGGACTTGAGACTCTGAAATCAGCGGCTCCCAGTCAATGGCCCACCCAGCTCTCCTCAGTGGAGCTGAGCCAGAGGAAAGGCTCTGACACGGAAAATAGAGCCAAAGAGGGGGCCTCCCTGGAGACCAGACTGTGCAGCGAGAGGAGAACCAAAACTAAATAAAAACTTTGTCACCAATACCTCAAGACATTAGAAACTGTATTGTATCCAGGAAAGAAGCAAATGCTCTGAGTTAACAAAAAACTCAACAGGAACTATGGAAAATATAAACAAAGAAATCTCCTGGAAAGTGCAACAAAAAGAAAAAAGATAGAAAATATGAGAGAAAAATTAACAAAACAACAGTTTAGAAGGGTTGACATTTAGGAAAAGAGAAAACAGAGGAAAAAAATCATCAACAAAATAAAGAAAATTCCCAGAAATAAAACTATCAGATTCAAAGGGCCCACAACAAGGGACCAAAATGCACTTCATGAAGCACATCCAGGGGGACTCTGAACTGTGGTGATAAAGAGAAGACTCACCATGCTCCCATGTGCTTCTAGAGAGGAAAACAGGCCACATACAAAAGATCAGGAATCAGAATGGCTTTGGATTCTCAACAACAAAACTGGAACCCTGGGCTGGGGTGTGGCTCAGTGGTAGAGCACTTGCCTCACATGCACGAGGCACTGGGTTCAATCCTCAGCACCACATAAAAAATAAACAAATAAAATAAAGATTTTAAAAAAAAATTGGACCCCTAAGGTTCTAGGACGGTGGTCCACATGCCTATAGTCCCATTAATAGGGAGGCTGAGGCAGGAGGATTGCAGTTCAAGGCCAGCCTCAGCAACTTAGCAAGACCCTATCTCAAAAAAAAAAAWAAWAAATAAAAAGGATAGGGAGTGTAGCTCAGTGGCAGGGCACCCTGGGTTCAATACCCAGTATACAAACAAAACAAAACAAAACTGGAACCCAAAGACAACAAAGTAATGTCTTCAAAATTCTTTTTTTTTTGGGGGGGGGGGAGTGAATCCAAGGGAAGTTTACCACTGAGCTACATTCCCAGCCCTTTATATTTTGAGACAGGTTCTAAGTTGCCCAGGCTGGCCTTAGACTTGGGATCCACCTGTCTCAGATGCCCAGGTTGCTACGATCATAAGCATGTGCCACCACAACCAGCAAATGTCCCCAAATTCTACAGAAAATTTATTTACAATCCAGAATTCTACACAAAAAACAAAGACATTTTCATTCAGACACAATCTCAAAAGCCAAACTGCCAGGTGGTCTCCGTGTAGGAGCTGTGACTGAAGGATGTGCTCCACCAACTGAGAGAGCAAGTCAAGGAAGAGGGCGATACAGGAGAGAGGGGACAATGGCTGGAGTTGGGTGCAGAGATGACTGGATGACAGCTCTGAGGCACATGCAAAGGGCCACCAGCCCACAGCGAACAGAGGTGACTCGAGGACACTGCATTGAGGGCTTCATCTCCTGCTTCTTGTACACATTCTATATTTAATTTTTATTGTACTTTAACAATTATATAGAAAATGGCACAGGTCATAAGTACAGAACTCTGTGAGTTTCCACATGAACATGTGGGTAACAAGTAGCCAGGTCAAGAGGCACAACATTATTATAGCCTCAGGACCAAACTGAGGGAGACATTTCTTTCCTGGCTTCTTCTGCCACAGATTAATTTTGCATGTTTTCGAATTTTTTACAAATGAAATCATAGTTTGTATATTCTTTCATGCCTGACTTTTTCACCCAACTTTKTTTTTAGGTTTGTGAGATTCACCCATGTTCTCTCTGTGCTCCTTCTCATTGCTCTCTGAACCCCATCTCGCAAATCTATCACAGACATTCATTCCTACTGTTGATGGACATTTGGGTTGCATCAAGCGTTTTGGATCTTATAAAGCATTACCACTCTCGGACTTATTTTTGCGGAGGGCACCTAGAATTGAACTCAGAGGCACTTGACCACTGAGCCACATCCCCAGCCCTATTTTGTATTTTATTTAGAGACAGGGTCTCACTGAGTTGCTTAGGGCCTTGCTTTTGCTGAGGCTGGCTTTGAACACGAGATCCTCCTGTCTCAGCCTCCTGAGCAGCTGGGATTACAGGCCTGCACCACCGTGACTGATCTTGGACGTTTCTGAGTGAACACATGGACCCGTTTCTGCTGGAGTACACCTAGAAGTGGTTTGCTAGACATAAGCTGTGCAGTCTCAGTAAAMGCCACAGGTATTCCAAAGCAGTGCACCAGGGTGACTTTTAAACAGGGAGCTAAATGCTTCAGAGAMAGAGCTCAGAACCAAGACCCGGAGAGGCGCCCCTCCTCGTCCCACACCTGCAGTGTGGACAGCTGTGGACAGTCTTTCCACCCCACAGAAGGGTTCTCACAAAATCAAATCCTGAGAACCAGAAGCAGACCAGCGAGCTTAAAGGCTGAAATACAAAGTGGCATGTTCCGTAGTCCATCCCAGCTACTAAGGAGGCAGAGGCAGGAGGATCACTTGAGCCCAGGAGTTCAAGACCAGCCTGGCCAACAGGGTGAGACTCTGCCTCAAAAAAAGAAAAAAAAAAAAAAAAAAAAAAAGCCCAAATACCGAGAGCTCAGCACTGGCTTTCTCTGCCATATACCCATGTATACTATCGCTGGACAACTAGTACCTGGCTGACCTTTCCATCCTGCCACATGCCCTGCTTCCCAGGACTCTCTCCTGACCCTGCCTACTAATGTCCCCAGAGGGGATCAGTAAGTGCCCGGGAAAGCTGTGCCCCACTATTATCCAACCATCCATTCATGCCACCTTCTCCCAGTGCCCCCATCTAACCTGAGCACAACTCCACCTCCCTGCAGAGCAGGTCTGCGCCTGCTGCTCAGCACAGAGTCAGACGGCACATGCAGGACTCAGGGATGGATGGAAAACTATAAAGACAAGCAGGAAATGATTCACACCAAAGTCAGGATGTGAACATCCATTTTGTACCAGCACTGTTCTCAGTAGCCAAAAGGAGAAAGAAACCCATGTGTCCATTGATGGATGAATGGATAAGCAAAATGAGGATTGTAAGGCTAATACATGGAATATGATAATCTAGCCTTTAAAAGGAAAGAAATTCTGATATATACCTGAATAATAACATGAATAAACCTTAAGGACATTATGGTAAGTGAAACAAGCCAGTCACAAAAAACCCCAATACTATATGAAGTCCAAATCATGGGGACAGAGCACAGGATGGTGGTTTCAGGGCCGGGGGAGAGGGGAAGAGGAGCTATTGCTTAATGGGCACAGGGTCAGTATTATAAAGTGAAAAGAGCTGCTCATGGAGAGGACGGGGTGGCGACTTACCATCATGACTGTATCTATCACCACTCAACRTTTAAAGTGGTTAGGAAGGTAAATTTTATGTGACGTGTGTTTACCACAAGATTTAAAGGTAGGACAGTGTTTCCTTCTAGAGGAAAGGCCAGGGCACAACCGGAAGCACCAGGAGGTTAGAAGGCCTGAATGTGCTTCCCTGTCTGTGCACCCTGAGTCGCGCTCCGTTTTCAGGACTCACGGTAAGCAGCGGGAGGAGGGAAAGAGTTGAGAATTGGAGAAAAAGAAAACAACAGAAGGAGTCGCGGAGATGAATGAAGCAGGTCCTGCTAACTCGTTCAGGACTCCTCGCTAGAAGCAAACTCAGATTCCCCAGCTAACAGGGCCAAGGCTGACGCCCAAGGAAACAGAAGCTCCCCACCTGCTAAGGTCAGTCCCGAGGACCGCAGGCCCTGGCTGACCTCTGCCCACCTCTTACCCACCTGGTTGTGGCTATGACAGTCCAGGAGGTCGTTGCTGATGTACGCCTGCAGAACCGTCTCCCTCTGCTCCCCAGGATGGGATGTGGTCAAGCGCTGGAGGGAAGAAAAACAAAAGTAACAAGACCTAAGTGTTAACAGGAGAAAAACTCCCATATAGCAGCTATGGTTTAAGTGGCAGTTAAAACTCCACCAGTGACTAGACACTGAACCAAGCAAATAAATACTAGCCAAGTGGGGAGGCTGGTTAGCCATCCAGCCAATCAATAAGGTGATGTAGGGGACATCTTAGGAGATGGGTGAGGTAGGGGACAATGGAGTCAGCTTCATATGTGAAGTCTCCTGAGAGGGAAAGGGGCATGATGCCCAGGCCATCAGTGTGCAGATGAGAGAGCACCTGTCACCCTAGAGAGGCAAGAGTTGGCTCCGCAGGGTGAGTGGACCGTTAGCCAGCAGGGGCAGGCGAGTGGAGGGGTGGGGAAGCATGGCCCAACTCAAGGAGGTACAAACACAGGGCACAGCCGAGTGGCTCATGGGTGGGCGCRGGGCTGACGGGAGGTCTTGGAACAYACCCTAAGGGACCCATAGAGCCATACTCAGCGAGGTGTGAGCGTGCCCGGTGGGGAGCTGGCGGGACTTCTGTAGACTGCAAAGTCCACAGGTCTGTTGTGTCGCTCTAAGTAAGGGCTTACGTAATGTCTGCAGGGAAGACGAAGGTTTCACTTGGAGCACATGGAATGTGCTCGTGCACATGGGCGTGTGCGGTATGAGTGGGGAAGCGACAAAGCCATGGAACTGGAGTGGGCAAATGTGCTTATTTTTCCAGGAAAACCTCACTAGATAAACATCCTGAGACTGCAGGCCCTGCTTCTGGCTGGAGAGAACACCCTGGGCAAGGCCAGAAGGAACAGTGGCCGAGGGGAGAGCTGACAGGACGAGGAGAACCGGGGAGGCAGGTGCCCACCATCATGGCGGGAAGGCCCTGCAGGAAGAGGGGCCTCTCCTGGAGGAGGAAGGTGCCGAGAAGGCCACACGGGAGCTGCTGCCCCTCTCAAGTTCACTGAGATTGAGGCAGGGGCCAGGGGTGGGGCGGGGCCCTGGAGGGGGACAGAGACAAAATCATTAAAAAGCCTGCTTATTTTTCCTGTGACAGTGTTCTTCTCTCAGCAGAGGAACGTCCTGTCTCAGCCAGAGGCTGGGGATAAGCGTGGGCTGAGAGGAAGTGCCAGGTGGCAAACCAAGAGCCAAATAGGAAGTGAGTCTGCTAAGCCGAGCAGAGGGCACGGCGGGGACAGCCCGGGAGACCCTCAAGTGGCCCACCCATGGGGCCAACTGACCCCAGTGGAACCAGAGCAGACGCCATGGCCTGGCCACAGGACTCTCCCTGTGTCCTCAAGTCACCTTCCAGATGCACCACCAGACCAGCAGGGAGCAGGACTGATTCGTCCCCAGGTGGGGGAAAATTAGTCAAGATACTGTAAAATTAGGGGATCCATGAAAGGGCCTGCTGCAAATACAGGGCGAGGCAGAATGGTCATCCAGGTAGAGGGCCCGCCATCAAGGGGGGATGCTGGCAGTCCTCAAGTGAGTCCAGGGAACCCGGTGTACCCAAGCCCTTGGGACACGATTATTTTCACAATTCTACTACAATATGACCCCTATATTCATGATCAGTCTCTCAGGGCCTATATGAAGCGTGGCACTTGGCAAATAGAATGCAGATTCAAGAATCCAGCTGTCCTCCATGTTGCTGACATGAAGAAACCTGCAAACAGGTGAAACAAGGCACCCTTCTCCCTGACTCTGTTGATTAGAAAGTTGTTGTTTTTAATAAAAATGTCACTTATGTTTAACATGTTCATTTGTTTATTGTTCACTTTATGTAATTGAAGTTTTCTCAGTTGTAATTTCCAATACTGTAAATATCAGTAGATAAAATTCACGTCAACAGCAGCTCTCCGCAGTCCTTAGTAACTTTTGAGTGTGTGGAGGGTGTGAGACTGAACCTGAGAACCCATGGCTGGTTCATGCTGCTGGGGACTGTGAGGATCCCAGGCCTCAGAGGAGGCTTTATTTCCCCTAAAGACTGGTCTTTGCCCTGGAGGCCGGCCCCGTGACATCTCAACACCGGAGTCGCGGGCCTCCCAGCAGGCCTGGCTGCGCTGGGAGCTGCGCTGGGAGCGGTGCCGGCAGCTCTCGCCCAGGAGAGGCCTTGACTGCAGCTCGTCATCACGTCACAGCGTGAAGGCAACGGCAACCGCGATGCCAAAGTAGGGGTCTTAGAAAGGCCAGAGCTGCCCTCAGGAGCTGCTCTGAACTCTGGTTCTTGGTGGCATCGGGCAGCGGGAAGGAAGATTTCCAGTAGAAGGTTACAAGATACAAGCATGGTAGCCAGCCAAGAAGAGCGGCACTGGGCTGGCCTTTGTTTTTTGTTTTCTGACATCAAGGGAAAGGTACCTACCCAGCGCAGAGCCTGCAACAGGAAGGCTTTCAAGCGGTCGCTCCCCCAGATCAAATCCTTCTTCAGTTTCTCATAATCCAGGGAGGGCAGCAACGGGACATCCTTCAGTTTCCTACTCAGCGTCACAGGTTCAAAGACAAAAACAAGCGGGAAAGGACAGGTTCATGACACCTCCTGACCATCCACACACCTGCTCCAGACCTGATGAGCCAGAGGGACTAGCAGTGGCCGCGCTGCCCGCTCCAGACTCAGCCAGTGTTTGGTTTCTCTAACTTCCTGAATAGGCTTAGAAGCCACTGCCTTTGCCTGGGGCCTGTGGTGGGGAGAGTCACCCTGGAGGCTCCTAGACTCTCCATCCAAGTTCTATTCAGAATTCCTGGCAAAGCCCTCAGACTATTAGCACCAGCAGTCCCTGAGGGGTCTGTCTGCACACCCAAGGCCACTGTCCCTCTCAAGCCTGGCGAATGAGTACCATAGAACAGGGGCCAGGAAGCAACTTGTAAGGGAGCAGGGGCCAGATGGACCACTGTGGAGGTGGAGGACTGGGAGCGAGGGGCTGGGACACACAGTGAGAGGGACAATTTGCTAAGCCTGCCCAGAGGACCCCAAGTTTAAAGACCCCAGGGAAGCCAGGGGTCTGATTAGATCTCTGATTAAAGATCTGCCCAGCTTGGACGAACCCAAGACCTGCCCCCGCTTAGCCAAAGACAGAAGGAACCAGTCCCTTCAGACTCCTTGTCCCGAAAACAAGTATCTCCACATTTTGGTTTATTGAACAAAAGGTTAGAGAGCGGGGAAAATAAAGAGAGCTGAATGAGGCCTGCGGTCTAGGTGACAGCACAGTGCCAAAACAACTTCCTCCTGTTGACCAGACACAGTCACCACTGGGGAAGTGGGGGGCCTCAGTTTCTGTGAATCTGTAATTAATTCAAAATAAAAACCTAAGCCAGGGTTGGTGGTACATGCCTGTAATCCCAGCAGCTTGGGAGGCTGAGGCAGGAGGATCACAAGTTCAAGGCCAGCCTCAGCAACACAGCAAGGCCCTAAGCAACTTAGCAAGACCCTGTCTCAAAAATAAAAAGGGCTGGGGATGTGGCTCAGTGGTTCAATCCCTGGTACCAAATAAATAAATAAATACCAAAAGAAAAATATCTCCAGTATCAAGGGGGAAAAGGAGACACACAGTATTAAGTGGAGACACACAGAGTTTGGTGAGAACAGGGAAGATGCTTCCCTTGTTCTGAGGGCGGAGGGGAATCCGTGCCAGGAGGAGGGAGCCTGGGCATGCTCGCTTCCTGTAATGAACTCGTGTTCCTTACACAATGAAAAATGACATGCCAGCTTTTTCAGGATTAGCTTTTACTGGACAAAATGAGATTCTTGTAGAGGTGCCATGGAAAGGGCCAGAAGAGAAGGCAACAGCTGAGCTCTCAGTGAGCAGCTGCGGGCGGAGCGCCCCTCTTGGGCACCCACCAGGAAGCCCACAGAGCGTGCGGTGGCTGCTCCGATGCTGTTTTCGGAGGCATATACTATTTTGAATTTAAAAATCAACAGAGCTACTTTGAAATTTCCAATTGTAAATCACTAGGTCAGGATTTTTCAAAATTGTCAAGGCCATGAAAGACAGAGGAACGCCTCAAATTCAAGAAAACTAAGAAGACACTCTGGCAGCATGAGGTTCTGGCTCCAACCTTGGCCCAGGGAGACACGGGGGAGCAACGGTACCTGCGAATGAGCCTGCAGACCTGGTGGGAGCTGCCTCAGTGCCCACTGCTGGGTGTCTATTAAAGCTACTGTGAATTCCAGTGTGACATCTAACTGTCCTCATTAATAAGATTTCCCAAGAGCGATTACTTACACGGGTGCCAAGGAGGCTCGCAACATGGTGGAGGCCTGAGGGGAAGGGGACGGGAGAAGAGAGACCATGTTAAGCACCGACAGCAACAGCTCTGACTCAGACCCTGTCAACAGCACACAGCCAACACGCCTGCAGCGTTCTCCAGCCACAGTCACACATGACTTAAAAATCAGCCCACACCACTGCTGAGAGCTGCCCGCCCCAAGCCCCTGGCTAAGGTAAATGCTGCAGTGGGTCCACCCAGACCCCAGAGGCCATAAAGCTGCCCAAAGACATCGTGAAGAATAAAAGCAAAGTGGGTCATTGGATGTTCTTAGTTTTTTCTCTCTCACGATTTTCTCTTTAAGCACAAAAACAACACATGTGCTGCGTGTCATTTCCCAGTCCTGAAAGAATCTGGCTTGGGACCCGTGGAATAAGWCGCCCCTTCCCGGCCTCCATGGTCTGCCAGATGCAGGTCCACCCTGAGATCCGCTCCGGCCCTTGGGCAGCGTGCTGCTCGCCAGGATCCACTGAGGGACGCGGGACCTCAGGAGCACAGTGTGTCACAGAGCCTTCCAGGAAACCCAGGCTCCAGAAGTTTTAAACCCCGATTCTTGCGATCGAATCAGAARGGTTTCAGACATGTTGTTCAGAGTGACAGGGATGAGTTTATTAGAAGGGCTAGGAAAAGGGAAAGGGGGTTCTCTCAAGGCAGAGAGTGGCTCCTCTCAGAGAGGAGAGGTGGGCGTGCCTCTCCCGCCCTCCAGCTTCTGGTTTTGTTTTTGGCACTGAGGAYCAAACTCTGGGGTCCTTGACCTCGGAGCCACACCCTCAGCCCTTTTTGTATTTTGTAGTTTATTTAGAGACAGGGTCTCACTGAGTTGCTTTGTGCCTCGACGTTGCTGAGGCTGGCTTTGAACTCACGATCCTCCTGTCTCAGCCTCCCAAGCCCCTGGGATTACAGGCACCTGCCTCTGCACCCGGCCTGCCCTCCAGTTTTATTGGGGGTCCCAGGGAAGTTTCCAGAGAGCCCTGCCCAGGTCCACCTCTTGATTTCTGACTCACAACAGGATGATATCAAAGTTCCAAGTGCCCACTGCCATGACTTTGGCCTGGGCCACCAGTTCTAACTGGAACCTGTTCTTCAGATGTTCCGGGAAGGAGAAATTAATTCTTATCTCCCTGATTCGGGATCTGGTCTGTGTAAAGGTCACAGAAGTTCCCGCTTCAGGGTAACTGTGTTCTTATCAGCATTTCAAGGCCTGCGTTTCTCCTGCAGATGTCAGGTAGTGCTGAGGAATGYGACATATCCTGTGGATCATATCTTGTGGACTTAGGTCCGGCAGGGCTTCAGGTAAACAGTTTCTCAAAAGTGAAATGGGGTCAGCACAGCGGGCCCAACCTCAAGTTCCTACCACTTGCACCTGACCGTCCCCTATCATGCAGACTTCTGGAACAAGCACCTGCATCTCAGCCGGGCCCCTGGGGACTTGTCCGCACTTGGGTTTGAGCATCTGACTCTGGTCCATAAGTCATGCACTGCTAAGCCAGCAACGCCCTGCTCTGGTGACAGCCCCATYATGGGAGTGCATATCAGGGAGGGCMAGCCCTCTTCCCGTCCTTCATTTTCCACACTTTTGGCTCATCTCGGATATTCATCTACGGAATTAGCTTTGGAGAGGAACCAAAGTGTTTTCCTGTTCATGGGTTTGTTTGAAAGAAAATGGAATTTCCATCCGCCGTGGAGCCTTTCCCAAGGGGCAGGCCGTGGTCCTTATTCTCTCTGTGTCCCCACGGCTCTTGAACAGGACACCAGTCATTTTTAACCACACTGAACTGTGATTATTTCACAAATATTTGTGTCTTTCTCCTTCAGCAGACAATACATTCTGTAAGGACTGGAAACATGTCACCCTCCTGTCCTCAGCATCTGCTACAGTGCCTAGGCGGACGGAGTCACTGATTCAACATCTGTTGAAATGAAGGAAGACGGACCCCCAAGAGGCCTACTCCAGGGTCCTCCAGTGCCTAGGAAGAGGCCCTGGTGATGACGACTCTGTCACTGATTGCTTCCCTCTGGCAGGTTGAYAGATGTGCAGATTCCCACCTTGTGGACATCTGACCCTACCTTTCAATGGTTCATGACTAGGTATGTTCCCATATTTTTTAGTCCTTGGGTTGTGTTATTCCTGTTACTGGCTTAGTGAAGAGTTCAGAATCTAAGTTGGAAATGGTATCTAAATTACTCATGTAATACATTAAAGAGACCAAGAAGCTGACGGTGGGTCAACTGGGTCAAATAAGGACATGGCCACACTAAAATATCAGCATAATACAGATAAAAATTAAGAATTAGAGGGGCTRGGGTTGTGGCTCAGCGRTAGAGCACTCGCCTGGCATGTGTGAGGCACTGGGTTCAATCCWCAGCACCACCWAAAAATAAAATACAGATATTGTGTCCACCTATAACTAAAAAAACAATATTAAAAAAAGAATTAAAAATGCTGGCTAATTCCTATTTTCCCAATAAAATTCAGCACTACCTTTTTTTCATAGCYATAGGAAGTTTTCCGTTATTTAAAAACCAACCCCTCTTGGCTAAACTCTATCGATCAATTTGCCTCATGAAGAAAGTAGTTGACAAGTAGGAATCACGGCCCCTGAGGAGTGGAAACAAGAGGTAAGTGAAACCCCCCTGGGACTTCAGCATCGAATCAAGRAAAGAAGMAAKCCAGGGATGACTGCGGGAAAAGGGCTCRGCACCCTGCCCAGGAGAGAGTGGGAGGCCACGGTGTCTCACGCATTCAGCCAGCACCTACTGATGACACCATCTGCCAGGTCACTGCTAGGCCCTCGGTCACACAGGGGTGAACAAATCAAGTGCCTTTCAAGAACTCCTGGTCCAGTGGGGGACACAGGGCCAAACAACTCCCCCTGCCTCAGTGTCCTCRCCTGCAAGACTGGGGTACTCACAGCGAGCTAATTCCGGCCTGCTCAGTCTCCACCCCCAGCCCCCACAGATCAGGTCCCTGTGGTTCTGTGGTGAACTTCCCTCACACCCAGGACTTTCTCTCCAGTCCCCACACTGGGACTTCCTTTGGCACCGCCTCTCTTCTGAGCACAGACGGCCATGGTCAGAGTTCCTTGACCACCAGTGGGCATCTCATGGGCATGAGCTCATTCCCTGCCCTGTTGTGGAGATGAAGCACCCTGYCCCAGGCCAAGAGTCCAACCAGGAGTCGGGTCCCAGAGCCCACGCCGGCTCGGCCCACTCCCCCGCCAGGCTCTTCCTCCAGCCCTCCGTCCTGCTTGGCCAAGGGGAGCTTTAGCAAAGCCRCCTCACCCCCATCTCCTCAGTCTCACCTCTGGCACAGCTCTGTGCCATCCTCCAGTCTCCTTCTTCATCCTTCAAACTCAGTTCCACCCCTTGTGCTCAGTGAGATGGTTCCCAGCTCTGMCCTCTACCCTCACTTCCTGGAGCTCTGACAAACACGGATTTTTTTTTTTTTAATATTTACTTTTCAGTTTTCGGTGGACACAACATCTTTATTTTATGTGGTGCTGAGGATGAAACCCAGCCCTGCGCATGCCAGGCAAGCGTGCTACTGCTTGAGCCACATCCCAGCCCAAATACCAATTTTTTTGCCTGGTACTGCTGTGTTCTCTACAGAGCGTAAGGAACATTTTCCATGTTTCCATGAGAAGTGTGCTCCATGTTTCTACTTTCCCTCCAGTGGTCCTCAATAGGGAGTCACCTTGTCCCAGGGGACATTTGGCAACACGGGGAAACATCTTTTGGTTGCCCAAACTAGGTGCTATTGGCATCCCCTGGGTAGAGGCAGGAGGTGCTATTACCCTCCCATCCACACACAGAACAATCCAGTGCTGGAGTCCAGAAGCCCTGCTCTAGACAAGGGCTTTTTGTTTTGTTAACAAAGCAGATACTCAGATCTCTTCTGAAATGAACTGAGTTTCTCAAGGATTTGCAATCAGATTTATGATGTGTAGGAGGTGTCCACCTAGAAAGGCCAGATAGAACCACATGTGGGTAGGGGCCACAGGGACGGCAGAGCAAGTCAGCACAGCCACCCTCCCCAGCCCGATGACACTGAACTCCTCCCTCTGACACAGTTGCTCCAGTTGGTAAGTAAGTACTGAATTCTAATTTAAATGACAAACTTGAATTGACCTAGACATTGACCCCTGGGCATAAACTTGCTTAATGATGGGGTACACAGCAGGCCATAGCTTCTGCGTCCTCCTCCTGGGTAGAAGTCTTAATAATAACACAAAAGCACTGAGGAGGCTGCTCTGAGGGTCTGTGGACCACTTTTCACTGTGTGCTGGATTTCYAGAAGTCTACATGTGCAGGTTCTTGAGCAGGATGTGACAAGAGCCTCTGCTGGCCGCACTCAGGAGTCACTGCCACCAACTGTGAGCACTGCAGTATTTGCACAGTGTGAGGACAGTTCCAACAGGTAGGCAGCAGCCCCAGCAGGAGAAAGATGACAAATCCAAACATCAGCAACCACAGAATAATTCCCCTAACGGAGCTCACAATAGGTTCTTAACACAGGARGAACAAGTTTCAGAGACAACTCCCTTGCTGAGAAGTAGGTTCTGGGGCCCGACTCCAGGCCAGGTGGCTCTTCATGATGTCTAGGTTTTTATGCTGAGAGCGCAGAGAATGGCCACTGTAGCCAGTGACCCCTCTARGAAGCCTGGCAGGAATGCTGGGGCAACCTTTTCAGGGCCCAGGAGTCGAACAGGGGGTGAGTAATGTGTTAATGCATCAGCTATGCCCTGAGCACCCTCACGAACCACTTCAGGGCGAGGCTCTTGGAACCGTGGGCCTGGGAGACAAACGTCCTAAGCCAAGGGGAAATGGTAGTGTAACAGGGGTTATGCTAACACAGCCCTTGCTGCTTTGCAACTGCAACTTATTTTTTAAATGGACACATTTCTTTCTCTTCCTCTCTCTCTCTCCTTCTCCCTAATCTCAGGGGAATCAGGATTACTTTCTTCCCCATTTTAGGCAGAGTATCTGTCCTTC